ACATTTCCCCATGTTATTCCCAAAGGTGTGAAAAACATGGAAACATTTCCCCATGTTATTCCCAGTGTTGTGAAAAACATTAAAACATTTCCCCAAGTTATTCCCAATGTTGTGAAAAACATGGAAACATTTCCCCATGTTATTTCCAATTTTGTGAAAAACATGGAAACATTTCCCCATGTTATTTCCAATTTTGTGAACAACATGGGAACATTTCCCACGAAATTCCCAATCTTGTGAATGACATGGCAGCATGTCCCCATGTAATTCCCAATCTTGTGAATAACATGGGAACATTTCCTCATGTTTTTCCCATAGTTGTGAACTAAATGGAAACATTTCCCGTGTAGTTCACAATCCTGTGAATAACATGGCAACATTTCCCCATGTAACTCCCAGAGTTGTGAACAACATGGGAACATTTCCCATGTTATTCCCAGTCTTGTGAATGACATGGAAACATTTCCCCCATGTAATTCCCATCTTGTTGAATAAATGGAAATATTTCCCCATGTTATTCCCAGAGTTATGAACAACATGGGAACATTTCCCATGTAATTCCCAATGTTGAGAATAACATGGGAACATTTCCCCATGCAATTTCCAATCTTGTGAAAAACATGCAAACATCCCCTATGTAATTTGCAATAATTAATGTATGTTTTAAGTGACAACCATATAGGAACATTTCTCCATGTCACTCACAACAGGGAACATAACTTTCCGAAAAAAAATTATCCAGCGTTATACAGTAAACAATCTAATTAGTTATATTTATTTCTGATTTGTTGAACAATTGCAATGTAGTTGCTTACAATGTTGTCACCTTTAGGACCCTGTATATGTTACCACTTTTATATCGAAAAGTCAAATACTTGTAGATGTGTCAATAAAGTTGCATGAGAAAATGCACTCACTAAAATTTAAGTTGCCTTTATCCAGGTTGAAGTATTATTCCAATGGCCTTTAGCAATTGAGATCATTGATCGCCAGGCCACCGTATTTCTTGCACCTCTACCTCGACTTTCTCTCACATAGACATTACCATTAGGAAATCTCAAACTTGGGATATAAAAGTAAACATCCACTGTCTTGTTAATAAAATCAACATTTTGAATGTGTCCATGCCAAATGTCTTCATTGGATTCACCTTGAATAAGCATCATGTCCCCTACCTCAGGAAATACAGGTACAATGACTGTATAGGGAAGATTCTTAAACTGTCGCATGTAATCAACTACAGTCAGTAAATTGTCATCACTTGGATAGAGAATAACTTTCCTGCAAATGTCTTCAACTAAAAAGAACATGGAGTTGGCAAGAGGTTGGCATTCAACCTTTACAAAACCACTCCAAAAGTTTCTTTCAGCCTCACCATTATCTCTTACACGAAATGGATAACAAACTCCTTGGCCTAATAAACTACAAAAATCACCTTGATTGCGGACAGACAGAAATCCCTGTAGCTGGACAACAGCCTCTTGCCCATTGACTAAAACAATAACATTATCTCCACATGCAAAGGCAGTTCCATCAAAAGCAGTATCTTGTTTGAAACATCTCTTGGTAGCAAATGCAGCCACTGGAACCTCCAATGGGGAAATCGACAACAGCTCAGCTACTTTGTGACGGTTTTCACCCTCAATTGGCTTAATATTCGACAATGAACCTACCAGAAAACTTCTTCTTGGTGGAGGCTCCATTTGTGAAAGTACCTTAGCTGTATCGTTAGAGCACACTATTCCCTAAAAGGGATGTGAAAATGAAGTAACATATAAGACAGACATTAGAAATAGACAATAACTGTAATGTAATAATTGAAATCTAATTATTAGATTAAAATCCCAAGTTTACTGTGAGCAAAAAATCACAGAGTTTTTATTGTTTTAGTGGACTCTCTTTTTATGTTTTAGTGCTAAGTCGAAAACAAAATAATATTTTTTCAATAGAGCCATAAATCAACTCCTTCTTTCCTGTTTGACTTCCCTTGCACTGATGCACATTTACTGCACAAATGTACTTTCCAAAGAATTTTTGTATTCTTCTGAGTCAATTTTTGTGGCCATTTTATCCCTGTCATTTGGTTTATACCACAACAATAATAATTATTGTTCCCCACAGTGTCACTAGCTAGTGGTGGATATGGACCTTGCCACTTTGGAGCTTGGTAAATGCCACCACCAGCCACCTCCACTTTGGGGGATAATTGTTAATTATCAACAATTTCCACACATGTACAAGTTCTATACTACTTTAACAAACAATACAATTTCACTAAGCTTTATAATATAATATAACTTATATTTATTGTTCTTAATCTTTGTTGCACTCACCAGTGAAACATCATGCCTTCCAGGACTAGTTTCATTTTTCTCCTCGACTGATTTCAAGTATTCTCTTATTGCCTCAACATGGGCAAATGTGGTTTCGATGCCTTTCCCATTGTGTGATTTCTTCACGTACTCTTTCACAGCCCTTTCAAACACGGCACACCAAGTGTTATCTGCTGATGAGAAGTTCAAAATGTCTTCATGAATATGAAGTAAGTTATGCATTGAGATGGTACACATCTCCAAACCTTGCACTTCTTCTACATATATATTTAGTCTCCATGCCAAGTTTTTGTGCAACGTAATCATATCAGGAGTCCATCCATTTCTTCCAGCATGGAAGTGCAGCTCAGTTAACCTAGACACAAGGGATACAATTTCATATTCCAGGGGATTGGTAACTTGACTTTCCATGATACATTCTGCCATTGGAAAAGAGAACTTCTGGTAGCTTTCAGCTTTCCAGTATCCAATACCTTTGCAATCTTTTCCAAGTTGTCTTGGGAGCCTGCCATCCTTGAATTCACCAGTCCAAGGGAAGTTTTCAATTTGTTTATCAAGCCCAGCTTTGTCCAGCATTTCTAGATCCAAAGCTCTAACAATTTGATTTTTGACAACATTGAGGGGAATAGTATGATACACATCAAAAACAAGATGATTCAAAATGTCAAATCCATAGAGAGGATAAAGGTATTTATGAAAAATGGACAAGCCAGTAAATCCATTCTCTGAAGACATCTTTTTTCTAACACTTGATCTGGTTTCATGTTCAATGTCAAAAATATTTCTCAGTTGAGATTCAATGGTTCTCTTTTCCCATGGGTGCCTGTAATGGAAGCGGTTTTGGCCATAATAATAGTGTGTATTTGAACTATTTTCAAGATGCTGCCCTACCAGCTGGCACCTACGACATGCACACTTTCCTTGGTTCAAAAACTTCCCTGTTTCACACTGACCAGGGTGGTCAGCTGTCCAGCACAGTAATAACACTCGCACAGTTTCCTCCCTGGAAGGTTCGTAGCCAGAAATTGAGATTCCTGTGGGGTAGTTTACTTGAAACCCTTCAATAAACCCATTGCAGAGATCATTCATTAAAGGTTCCAAGAAAGGATCTAGTGATGCAGGTAGATTTGGAACTTCAAAGCAAGGCACAAATCCTACAACATATACTTGGTCTACATGATTTCTTTGAGTCTTTCTCATATTGGCAACTGTAACTTCAAAAGATCCTGATCCTCTATAACTTGTGCCAAATGGCTGCCAGCCATCAAAGTGTCCTATCAGTGCCAAGTTTAAAGGAGAACCTTTAGCCATCTTAATACAATGTTCAAAGTTTTCAAAGCAAACAGGACATTCAACAATTTTAAATGCCCCTTGTCTATCACAATCTGGCGAGTTTATCAAGTGGTCTGTAGATACAGGAATGTTACAGTGTACACATCGAGTTGGCAAAGCCCAAACACTTTTTGGGTTCCAAAACCACTGAAGCTCTGACCACCTATTTCCATCCCATATTTCTCTCTTTAAATGCCAACTTTCCATATTCTCCAACCAGTGTTCTTTTTCTAACCAGTGTCCAAGCATATTTGTACACATAGTTTTATTTCTAAACCAGTTCTTGAGTTTATTCTCCAGACCTAAGTACATGTATTTTATGTAACCTTTGTTACCACAGTGAGGACACCTGCTATCTTTGTTCTCCATGACACTGTATTTTCCATCGTAGACAATCTTTTTGGTAGTCTTTCCATCCCTTGTGACTTCTTTTTCCTCACGACAGAAACAAATAAAGTACTGTTTGGCATCTTCAAAGCCCTCTTCTTTCAAAAGCAACTGCACATCATTCCAACTCTTCGGCCATAACGTAGTTAAAATGTCATGATCCACATCATCACCTAGAGATGTAAATAACAATGTCTTTCCATACTCCAAGACATCTTCAAATGTACTTACTGACACCCCACTTTTATGCTTTATTCTCAGTGCGTCTAGAACCGCCTTAACAACTAACTTCTTCATGGGATTCTGATTGGGGTTTGTGCCGTCGTTGTCGTCAGTCCCATCTCTTTGTTGCAGATCTCGCAGCGGCTCAGGATCGCAACTAATTCCGAGTTCGTCTTCCGCTGATTGGTCACATCCACCAACATCGTCAAAGGACATATCTTCCGAAATGTGTGAGTCACTATCTGAGTGGCTGTTAAGCACACTATCAGGACTTGTGGATGCCAATTCACACGTTTCTTTCCAGTGTCGTAGTTCTGTTTTTCTATCTGTTGCCCTTCCTTGGCATGCGAAGCAAGGACAGTGAACATGTCTGTACGATTTTTCACGACACTCGCAGCCTGAAATTTCATCTCTGGACCAAGGTACATTTACTTCTCGTGTAAAAGAACGCCTCATAAAGAAACAACGAAATACAATTTACAAATTATAAGCTTAATCGAAGCTTATACATAGCCTATCCACATTCCAACCACGAGCCGCCATTACAATATCCCAGCAATTCAATCGCCCAGCGGTCTTTCATAGCCAAATACAATTTTAACCAATGAGGTTCGATCATTGAATATGATGTGGGAGTGACGTAAAAAAAGGCGGGAAAACCATCCAATAAGAAATGCCGTAATAAGCGGGAACTCGTACGTCGTTTAGCTTTCGTGTGGGAAAGCCATGGCGAGCGACAGCAGTGGAATGGATGTTCCTAGTGCAAAAGAAAGTAATGAAAGTGGAGGTTCCAATGATGAAGGCGGAAACACTGATGTCTTTAACAAGATACGCAGCCTATTCGGGAACGAGATTTATGAATCCCTTCAAAGTAAGTCGTAAAGTCATTTTGCACTTCGCACAACGACAATCATGTGTCTTCTTCGCTTTTTTCTTAAATATATGAAGTGATTTATTAATCTGTTATTTATACAGGTGCGATTTTTTACATCAATATTCCAATATAGCTTCTAATTAATATCAGCTGTTGTTAGAGAAATTGGCGCCATTTCTTTAATTCCCGCACGAAAGATCTAGGTAGTGTTGTGAAGCTTACACTTAAATAAATAAGCTTATTTTCCTTCGTCACTACTTTACAGAAGAGGAAATCAATTCTCCCGAGCTGATTGCTGATTTGGCAGATAGAGATGCAGACGCTCCAATATTCGGGAAACTTGGCTTTACATACGGAAAAGCAGCACGTTTCAAGAAAGAATTTGAGACAAGAAAGGCATCTTATGGCAGCGCCCGTGCGCGTCCTTGTTCTCCAGCGCCCTCGAAACCAACCATGGCGGAAATGAGCAGTTTTACCCCCGAGATGAAAAGACTTTACTTATCCAAGTATGCTATGGGATTAATTGATTATCTTATGTCATGTTGTGGTTTTGATAAGCCTCTTCCTACAGATAATAGAGTTGAGATAATAACATCATGCAAACGCCGCCTTTTCCTGCCTTGCTTTTCAAGCTAGTCGATCAGTGAGATCAGAGAGAGCGAAGCGATGGCTGAATCATCCAAAATTCACCACAGTAACGAAATTTTACGAGACGTTTTATATTGAAGATATTGTTGAAACATTTCGCACATCATTTTTATGATTTCTTTGTTAAATGTTCTTAAACGGACTGTGTCACGGATTTTAGCCAAATTTAGGCATGGAAAATGACCATCAAATTCGGTGAAATATAAAAATAACCTCTTAAAACAGTGAAGGAACATTTCAATAACACAGCAACTGCAAAAGAAGGCGCGGATGGCCAAAAGTGACGAAGATTGAAACGGATTACAATATGTATTTTTTAAAAATTGTTGAGCTGAACAGTTTTCAAACTTAGGGTGGCTCATAATGGTTTTCATCATTTTCCAGCACTTATACTTTGAAGAGTCAGTACTACCACTCTTAATCACTTACTGTTATAGTAATGGTTATTTTTGTCATGTTATTTTTATGTTTTACTGTTAAAGTAGTGGTTAAGGTATGAAACAAATGCCCAATCATCAGTGAACAGGTTGTGATAAATGCATTGAGATTTTCAAGATTGGGATTTCAATTTTTTTTATTAATCTTTACAGGAGAAAGAAGATTGGAATTCTGGCAACAAGCAAATGGGGGAGCAGCTGCCCAAAATTCAACAGTCCAGAATTAAAAACAGAATTGAAAGAATTTTGTACTGAGATTGCCTCAGAATGTGCCATCCCAGAAATTAATTTCAACGAGGAAGGCATTGCAAATCATGTGAAGACGTTTTTTAGCGAGCAACGGCGATACAAAAAGAACAAAAGTCCATCTACCAAGGTTTGTGTTACTTTTTTAAAAATGTATGGCATGACCTTTTCAGTGAAAAGACATTAGTTATCAGATAAAATTAACAAGTCACTCAAATCTATACATTTTTTCTGAAAATTTATTTGTTAAGACCCCTCGCTTTGTATTTATCTGAAAATAATTGTCTAAAATTGAAGGATTTTAAATTTGAAGTGCTATGAAGATCCTATGAAATCCTTTTCATTGGTATCTCTAGACAAGGAAACTGGGAGTTTACATCAGTGGTGTTTGACTGTGTTACTGCATATTTATATAGCACTTCAACTTTTACCAGTTTAGCAGCTAAGCCCTGCCAGATATTTTCCTGAGGATGACTGCAAACTGATGCATGATTAATGTTTAACTGTTTTCAGGCAGCAGAAACCAGAAAGATTGAAGCTACTGGACAAAGGAAGAAGCCGAAAGGGGGAGATGTATGTATCTGTTCTGTTGTATGTTCAGTCTGTTTTATTGAGGATGTATACACCTTCATGTACATCTTCCACACCCCCATACTGACCCTGTGTTTAATATGTAGTCTTGCTGTTGTGTAAAGTTCTTTTACAGCAGTTTCAGAAACCCCATTATAACAGTTGTTGTATGTTTGTTGTTTATATAGACTTAACAAATTGCATAATTTTTTTTGCAGACATCTTTTGAGGAAATGAGTGGAGGATCATCAGAAACAGAAAATAGTATTCAGGGTGGTGATACAGATTCAGTTGAGGATGAAGATGAGGAAGAAAGCATGTTAAAGTCACCTCCTTCCTCTCAAGTTCCGCCATTACCTGCTGTAAGTTTGACTGAAGAATGGGAATCAAACTTAAAGGCTAATCAGCTAATAGTTAAGGGTGTTTTTGGTAGAGTGCTGAACCGGGAAGAAATGATTGATGTCTTAAAAAAAAAATTTTCTGCTCAGCAGAAGAATCTGACTGGGTTAAAGCCATCCGAGCTTATGTCTGTCTTGGCTAAAAAACTTACCCGAAGTGGATATTGCAGTTTGAAAGTAAAACACACAGAAGTTAAAAGTAAAGATGACTTGAACATTATAAAGGAGATTGCATTTTAGACCAGCAGGTTTTAGTTCAGGTTACAGGGTGTTAGATCTATAGTCTAACCAAACCTTTCTTAATATAAAGTTTGTAAAGGGACAGTTTAGTATAGAGCAACAGAGTGCTGAACTAGGAAAAAAAGATTGATGTCTTGAAAAAAAAATTTTCTGCTCAGCAGAAGAATCTGACTGGGTTAAAACCTCCGAGCTTATGTCTGTCTTGGCTAAACAACTTACTCGAAGTGGATATTGCAGTTTGAAAGTAAAACATGCAGAGGTTAAAAGCAAAGATAACTTAACTATTATAAAGGAAATTGCATTTTAGACCAGCAGGTTTTAGTTCAGGTTTGTTAATATAAAGTTTGTAAAGGGACAGTTTAGTATACAGCAATAGAGTGCTGACTTGGAAAAAAAAGATTGATGTCTTGAAAAAAAAGTTTTCTGCTGGGCAGAAGAATCTGACTGGGTTAAAGCCTCAGAGCTAATGTCTGTCTCAGCCAAAAAAACCTACATGGAATGAATATTGCAAGGTTTAATTTCGGGTTATACGTTGTTGTTTTCATGTTAGATCTTAGTCTAACCAATTGTCTCTTAATATAAAGTTTGTGAAGGGAGAGTAAACCAAAGTATAGAGCAACTAAAGTGGCCCAGATGTAAATTGGTATTTTTAGCAGAAGTAATAATAATAATAATTATATTGTTATTGCCTATTTAACAGTTTTCAATACCTTAATATTTTGATCTTTGTCTTGTTTCATAAACATTGGAATTGTTACTAACTTATAATGATAGTTGATTTTGATACATCACAGTTAGGGTATGAAAAGGGCTGTAATTGGTTTGTGTTCAGCTCATGACTTTTTTGGTCTTTATTGCTTTTGCTTAGATGTGAGGTCCATTTTTGAGAAAAATCCTTGGTTGCCAGTATAGTTTTCCTGACACCGTGATAACAGACGTCTTCCGTAGATCTGCAAAAGAAACTAGTAGAATATTATTGTTCCTTTAATAATAAAAGAAAGCAAGGAAGTAACACTAACAACTGCTGTTAATTCTTTCAAACAAACCATGTTGTTGATTATAATTACTATGCTATTTCTCTCAAACAAAAAATGAACCAGCAAATTATGAAGGCCACTGCAAGATAACAGTTAAACTGGACCAAAACAAAGACCAAAACAATCACTTGAGCTGTCATTTAACTCTGCAGCCTCTAGTCTTACAGTTTCAATAAAGAACTTATTATATAGGTACAGATTATGAGATTATCACTAAGAACATTTAGAGGAATTGAAAGTTTGTTTACTTATCCCTTGTTCTGATACCAAATTAGAGACTTCTCAACATTTTCAGACTTGAGTTTTTAATAAAAGTTTTTGTTGGAAATTCTGACTGTGATGATTATTTGACTGACCATGCATTTTGTTGTTTGATTTTTATATAGGCATGGATTTAGAGGGATTGGAAAGATCTAGAGGCTCTTAAGTCTGTTGAAAGCTAGAACTATATCATTGTCCTGACAATAAAAAGACATTTTGCATGAAAACTACTGGGATATAAAGACCCCTTGTTAGGGTAACTACTCAGACACAAAAAACCCATGTCAGAGTAATAATTACTGGGACATAAAAACCCCATGGCAGGGTAAATACTGGGGAATAAATATCCCATGTTAGGGTAAATACTGGGACTTAAAAACCCCACGTCGGAGTAATTACTGGGACATAAAAACCCCATGTCAGCGTTATTACTGGGAAATAAACACCCCATGTCAGTGTAAATACTGGGACATAAAAACCCCATGTCAGGGAATTTACTGAGACAAGAAAAACCATGTCAGGGTAATAAATGGGACATAAATTACCCCACATCAGGGTAATTATTGGGACATAAAAACCCCATGCCAGGGTAAGTATTGGGACATAAAAACCCCATAAAATGATAAATGGGACATAAAAACTCCACATCCGGGTAATTATTGGGACTTAAAAACCCCATGTCAGAGTTATTCCTGGGACATAAAAATCCCATGTCAGGGTAAGTATTGGGACATAAAAACCCCATGACAGGGTAATAAATGGGACATAAATACCCCACAACAGGGTTATTACTGGGACATAAAAACCCCATATCTGGGATATGATTGGGATATTGTCGTCCCATACATGGTTTTGGTAGCATTTTCCCAATCTGGGAAATTCACACTAAAAACCCAAAGAAATCCCTGAAATATCCCATTTTTGTACCAAATTGGGAATTACCAAAAGTTTCCTGTGAGACTCACCATGACATTCCTCAAAACCATGCAGTTGAGTGCAAGTTTCTGCAACTTTACGGGGCGTGATCCAGCCTTCCAGCGGTGAACACTTTAAACTGTGGCCATCGGCGTTTTCCCATTCTATTCCGCTTAGGAAATTATATTTTGATTGATGACTTCTCTAAATCAGAGGCCGCAAAAGCCGCAAAACGTTAACGACACTCGTTTTGAAACATCGCAAGACTCGCCATGACATTCCTCGCAGCTGCATGATATTTATCGTTAAAATAATACTAAAACTTCTTTGTTTGGTCATGACATTTGCTTAACAGGCCGGCTATATACCTTCTTAATATTCTCGGCATTCAAGATACATAATTCCGTTAGCCTGTGGGTAAAAATAACGAGGAAACCAAATAGCATCGGGCGTCCATCTTTGTGCTTCGCGCGAAAACAGAGCAGCAACCTTGCAACCGGATGTGATGTCATAAATCGGTGGATCATAGGGACACGAAATTTCGCTAAGTCGTGGGCCCCCCCCTGGGTGAAGGTAAAGCGACAAAAGAAAATACGTCAATTTTTTGGTTCATTTGACCTTTAATTGTTGACTGCTGTTACGGCATAAAAACAAAAGTGTTTTGTGAAATTGTGAATCAGCACAGTTTCTTACTGTGAATTTTAAAATGTGTTATGGCTGCACGTGGAGGTGAATATTTTTAATTATGCTTTTGGATTGCTCCTTTGTTTGGCCTATGACAAAGATACGTTAACTGTTAAAAAATTACTAACACAAGGATATTATTAAGTCATTCATTAGCTCAAGTTTTTCTCCCAGGGTCTCTCTGTACAATCCAGAAGAGGCAACTATTGATTATAGTTCTTAACCATAATGATGAGAAATTTTACAGATAAAGGTCACATGACGATAGTTGAGTGAATAAGTAAATCCTGTATCATCAGTGTGTGTTCGGTCATGCATAGCACGCATTTCACAAAACTGAAGCTAATCAATGTTATAAAACTCCTTGTGGGTGTCCTTCGTGTATCATGGTAATGATCATTTCAAAATGCGTGCATCACAAATTTCTCTTAATATGATTCCCGGGACATGATCCTGGAAGGAAAAAAAGAATAGAATGTGGCTCAGACAAAGATCAATTTACAATAGGGCCATTTATACGAGGAAACTAAGACGCGTCTTACATAAGACGCGTCTTAAATAAGACGCGAACTGTACCATTTATACGAGCATGTCTTATCTAATAAGACGCGTCTTAGCTAAGCCGCGTCTTATTTTAGACGAAATGTGCCGTTTATACGGAAAGTTCGCGTCTTATTTAAGACGCGTCTTATTTTTCCTCGTATAAATGGCCCTAATGATTTCAAGTAATATATCAAACATGAGATGCAGTGTTTCATCACCAGATGAAACACCGAGAAGAGAGTTGAAAATACGACGCGCAGCGGAGTATTTTTGACGAACTTCGAGGTGTTTCATCTGGTGATGAAACACTGTGTCGAATGTTTGATATTTCTTCTCAAACAAAATCATTTTTGAAGGAGAAATTAAGGATGCAAATACTAAGCAGTGTTTCATCCGATTTCCAAACACTCATTAAACATTAATTTCCTTTGAATTTTCTTAATGAATTATTAATGAGTTTGAGAATTTATTTTCAATAATTACTGAATTAGCCTAGTGGCACTGCTAGGCCCTCCGGCCTTATTTCTTGTTATATGGTGATGTCGAGGTGGCCTCTTCTAAAAGCCTGGTGGTCCTCGCCTAACAACTTGCTCTATTCTGTAAAATTCATTTTAATATTAAGGCGCATAAATGATCACGATCATGATGATGATGAATTTAAGAAACACCAGCTTTCATTGTTCTTTTTGTTTTGTTGTTTTTTTGTTTCTCTGTTCGTCAAAAAGTCGCACTAATTATGAGGAACTGTGCAAACAGTTGCTTTATCGGGTTAACAAATCTGAGCATTATTATCTGTTAAGTCCTAATTTTTTCTTAACGAGTTCTGTGATACATGTATATCGACAGTGATCAATAAAATCCCTCCAACACCATAAAAATCAGAAAATTCTTTGAGGCAAGAAGAGAAGGGCGTCGATATATATCGTTGTAAATTGAAAATCAAAGAACTATTGAATTAACGGTATCAACCGGAGATAGTCTCACCTGAATATTCTTTAACGCATGTTATAACTTTCTTCGTCAGTATTTTCTTCGGGTCCTCGCTGGGTCCGGTGGTAAAGATCGTCACAATGGCGTCTTGTTACTCTCATGCGCTTTCTCGTTGGCTTCCTCGTTGGCGTTCTTTCCCGTGCGTTATTATTTCTTCTTTCTAGCATTATGCACCCCAAAGTAAAAACAAGAACAAGGGCCACGATAGCCAACTCTAAGTCAGAAAACATTTTTTCCTGCTTTCTTGTTTTCGGTGTAGCTACAATAGAGGGGAGCTCAGCCACTGATCAACTCAAACAAAAACTGGACATGCTGGCCTTAGTGCTTTCCCTTATTATAGCCGTCTTTTAGTGAGATATGTCAGCGGCAGCCAATCGCATCGTTTTGCATTTAGGTTTGCTAAATTCTGTGGAAATTCGCCCGGAGGCTTCGAGGAAAACGGTCTGAATTTGTGTTGAATAGATCGCGCCCATTGTGTCTGTACGAAAGCGAAGTTTTACTCCTTGTCTGATTTGCTGATTAACTTAAACACCCAAACCGTTGGTTCGTATCCTTTGTTATGCCTTTAAA